TTGAAGTTAAAGGCCCCCGAATTATTCAACAATTTCTCCCCATGAAAGAAAATTATATGATCATCATTACTAGAGGAAAAAAAATGATCGAAAGTTGGAAAATATAAAGTCAAGAAAAAACCAATTGAACAAGAAGTAAGAAATCTAATTAATCCATTACTTATTTTGAAAGCAACTCAAATTACTAATGTAGGACATGTTAGAGAAAATGTAATAGTAGAGGGAAAACATCCTAATTTCGGATTGGCCCCATAAGATTATTCTGAAAAGAAGACGACGAGACGAACAATACTCACCGCCATACCGTGACGTGCGATGAATTTTGGCCATTCAAGTTTGTTTAGGACTCAAAACATTATTTTTAAAATTTTGGCACTATTTTCGCCATTTCATTTATTTTGGGTTTCTTTCAATAATTTTAGTTTGTTTAAACTTTGTTTTCATTAATTTTAGTTGTTTAAACTACATTTACATGTAGACCCTTATAAATAATGGTGTTATTTCATTTTTCTTTATCATTCATTAATAAAATTTCGTAAATTTGTTTTTCTTTATAATTTGATGGATTCCAAATTTCTTATTCTACGGATTTCGCTTAAATTCCTTGTTTCAAACTGCTTCAATTACTATCAAAATAGACAAGCATAAGTCGAGGGATGACAAAGATGCTTGTAACTCCATTATTACTGACACCACTCATTCAATCAATATTATGTTCGAAGGTAGTGCTTGGAGTTGATATATGGTGCTAATTAATCCTAAAATTCTACCAAATATTGATATTTCATCCACTTTCTACAAATTTTTTCTTAGTTAACATCCGAAAAAAAAGTACAAATAAATAAGACAGCTTTTACCTAAGTAGACTGCCAAACAAGTTCTCATTGCGCCCACTATGAGATTCCTAACTTATTACCAAGTCATAGTAAATTGAAAAACATGACAAATAATAGAATTACTTTATAGGAAATCAAAGCAAAAGAAAATAGTCTTTTACAAAGGATAACATAAGGAACTCCGTAGAAGGTTTTCAAAGGATCCTCATATGCTTAATCTCAAAAGCAGACGTGGAGGACCAACTATATGGTAAATTAACTGCAGAGGGATTTCAATTTTCGGCAAAAATGCAGCGAAAATAAACTGCTTCACGAGCCCAAGTTACATAATCAAACTGAATAAAGAAAAAAGGGAATTACTGTGTCGCAATGTTGCAAATATTGGGTGAAATGGTTAGTGATGGAGATTATGTAAAGCTTCTCGAGGAGGTGGCCATCTTTAACACTGACCGAGGTATAGCAGAAATTTTGTTCAACAGAGTTGATAAGAAAACGAGGAAGATGGTCATCTTCTAAAAATCATATCATTCCTCTTAATCTAAATGCAGCAATATGACAAATGTTGTTGCTCATCTTTGGGGAGTCTCATAAGTCTTACTACGTTTAATCCTAGATTTTAGTTTACGAAATTACTTGTCATTCTCTGCTATAACCTTCTAACTGAGGAACAATGCTAAAATCTTTATGAATGTGATTAACTAAAATGTCTTGAAAGTCCTGTCAATTTAACTTTTCCAGTGCACAACTCAAGAAATTTCAGCCAGTCTACAAAGGAAAGGATTATTGATGACGAAAAGGAGGGGGGTGGAATATATCGAGGTAAAATAGATGTTAGAAGCTTTGGTCTCTAAGCATTCTTAGTTGAATGAATATCATTCTAATTTGGAAATCTCTCTCTCTCTCTCTCTCTCTCTCTCTAGGTTCAGATGCTGGATGCAGGGCACCGTTTTCTGGTTGAGAATGAAAATGCATGACAAGTTCCTTCCGAGGATTTAGAATGAAAAATGAATAGTAAGTAAACCAAATCTGTGATTCCAGTTATTATTCACTTCTTTTTTATACTTTTAATTTTCATATTAGTTTGTAATTTAATTGTTCTGTATGCTGCATGCGGAGATTATGGTAAAGAATATCAATAGTTAAGTAATCTGGGGTGAGGACTGTAAAGGAGAATCAGAAAAGCAGGTAAACTTCTTCTCTTGGAGTTAATTACTATCTTTGTTTTGCACCTTGATTTTAATCTGCAATTATGTTTCAAATACAATGCATCTCGTGCTCATTTTTCTTGTTTTGCAAATTTTAAAGAAAACGGCTATAGGAGTTCTCCATCATTCTTTAGTATCATTGGCACAAATAATGCCATCTCTTGTCATTTTGATGCAAGACTCTCTCTTTTGAAGTTGCAGATGACATGGATAAGAGCAATGGCCGACAAAAATGGCCATAAATTTAAATTTAATAAATCTTGCTCTCAACCTTATGAATTTTTAAGCTTAGCCAAACATTAGATATCCGGATGAAGCAATCAACAGTCCTGCATGCATATATTTACAAATTGATACTGTTTTTACTTTCTTTTTGCTGTATCTTGCAGTATTAATTCAGTTTATGGATGCAAACCAGAGGATGAACTCAAAAGCTGAAAGTAAACCACTCGAGGAGAAGCTTGAACAATGATTTCACTCAAGCTTTAGAGCAGAGGACAACTATATCTGATAAGTGTGGTTTAAATGGCACCTACTAGGCAGTCACATCTATAGCAGAGTTCCAAGTTAGCTGTCCATAACATAAAGAGCAGAACCTAACAAGAATGACTGGGCAAGTCCTGACTACTGATTAAATTTGGACAGACTTTCAATATTAACTAGGGAATATACACCAAACTGAGTTTCAATACTGAATGGACTGGTATCACTTCCACTTGGTGGTGAATATCTTCATTTTCAATTTTATTAAGTCTCACATAGGTGGGCCATCCATCTTAGCCTCATTGATTTTACAATACTCATCCTATATATGTCAAATAAGCATTTCTTGAGCTGGTATAAAAATGGATGCACGAGGAAATTATGGAAATAAAGAACATTGCAGTTCAATTCAAAAGCCTAAAAGATGGAACCTGTGAGTCATTTCTGTGCACTTTGTTCTCAACTCTAGTCTTATGGATATTATAAGATTTCTTAAACACACCTAAGAAAACTCAGTCCATCCAAAAATCTTCTACATTATTTATTCAAGAAGAGAGGGCAGAAAAGGGAAGAGATGGGGTATCAGCAATGATAGCACTGCTAGAGTATGTGATGGTTATAGGATCTCACAACCTTCTCAGTTAAATCTTACAGTCTGGAGATGTTCACTTGACCTTATCAAAGCAATTCTGGTGACAAAAGATTGCTTAGAATGTGAAGTTATAATAAGGCCATGATCCTCAATTTGAAGGGTGGGGTGGGCAATACTCGTACAAATAAAGATAAGGGATTAGTATTGGTAACACAGCCGTTAGGCTCACAATCATACTCATTTATAATCTTATTGTCTAGGCACATCGGTTGAACTTATCAAAGAACCTTGTTCTTCTAGGTAAGGGGCCTAAATTGATTCATAATAGCCAACTTAGATACAATAATTGGCATCATAAAAAGAATGGTAGATTTTTCGGTTAGCTCCACTAAGATCCTGAGAGCTTTAAACAAGTTTCACGTCATAAAATGGGCAAATGAGTTTTCAGGTTCCACCAAAAGTTAAATTATTATATCCAACAAGTGTTTACAATCTAACTCATACAACATATTGAATGATGAGAAATATGCTACATGATTTTCTTGTAAATTGAATCTTCTACTGATTCTCTATTTCAGTTAGAATGATGAATTTCCTATCTCTGATTTATACTCTACTATTGCATAAACAAAAGTGCAGTAGATAAAAATTTTCATGTGAGGAAAATGGGGAAAAAAAATTACACATGTATTTGTCAACATATATATTATGTGATTTTACTAAACTATTTTCATATTTATTAAAGTCACTCCCATCCTTCTACACACAGTGAGAAGTCTTGTCTTCTCGACCTTGGAGAGAATCTTACTTAAGGTTTTCCCATTTGGAGAGAACCGTGTGTATGGTTCTCCTCCTACATCAACAAGTGGGTAGTCTTATTCTATCCACAGAGAACAATTTCTTAGAGTAAGTATCCATGCGAGGTAAATTTATAGTGATTAAAACATGTATATGCAATTTTTGGCATCGCAACTCGCGTCTACATAGTTTTTGGGATATTCTAATAATTAAAATGACAATTGCAGGAACCTTTCACTAGTTTAGAGTTGTACTTGGTGCAACTTAAACTAACAACATAGCAAATTCCACCAACAGTTTAAGGACGGAGAAAAGATGTACCAATTCCAAAGAGGAATGAAATTTTTCTCAAAAGAGAACTCCCTGCAATAAATGAAGAGACAGGCCTTAGTGCCCCAAACTTGAAACGCTAAAACCCTAAAATGCAAATTGTAGGCTTTTCTCCATCAGGGAAAAAAAATATTCATCTCCCAACCGATCACTTTATAATTGAAGATAGCTTATTTACATGAAAATGCGCCATTGCAACCAAGAGTCACAAAATAATAAATTTAAATTGGACATTTGTAATTCAGTTTCTAATGACCCAATTCCATGTTACATATGTTGAATAGTTAAAAAAAGAAAAAAGAAAAAAAAAAAGGGCCACAAAACCCTTAAATATAAATATTTCTTGTTTCTCTACCAAAAGAGGCATGGCATCACACAAAACCCTTGATTACGTATGACAAAATGACAAAAATCAATTTACTTACCTATAATTAAATTTGCGACAATAGAAAAATATAAAGTTTCTTACCCACTGGAGAAATTGAAGAGAAAATGGGAAGATAGGAGCAATAGTTAGAACCGCAGTAGTAATTAAATGGCCGAGGGAATAAACAATAACTGAAAACGACATCGTTTAATGATCAAACAGGATTCCCAAAATCAAATCAAATAAAACAGCGCTTGTCCGCCAAGGCGCCAACAATGCTAATTTTGAAATTTACCGCCTTAGAACTCAACGGTAAATTCTCTTCAGTCTTCGTTATTTATACACACACACTTCACATATCTAAGATATCAATAAAAACCCCAATTTCTCTCCAACGGCATAATTCTGAAATCATCATCCTTTTCTTCTATTTGGTTGGAGAAGAAATTTTCTTGACGTCTGCTTTCTTGATTCCTCTTTCCTATTGAAGAGAATCCGATTTAAGCTTTTGATATCACTATTCTCTTTGTGATCTCTACTTTCCTGTGCTAATTCTGCATATCATCAATTCTGTAAATTCTCAGATTCTCAATAAGGTGAGTATTAATTGCCTCAACTTGTACTTGATGATAATTTTTCATAGTGTTGTCCGTATTAACTATTCTATTTAATTCTAGTGTGGAGAAGACATTTTTCTGATTACAAGAAACTGTAGGGAATCATGGAAAATGCGCCAAGAAACAAGAATCAGAAAACTGCTTCGAGTGCCATCAAAAAGAGTTTCTTGAGGCGGAAAGATTACATCAAGAAGAAGACCGAGGAACTCTCTATACTCTGTAATGTCAAGGCCTGTGCCATTATCGTTGGGCCAGACGGAACCATCGAAACATGGCCAGAAAGTCGTAATGATGTGCAGCGGGTGATTGAAGCGTACAGAAACTGCCCAGTTGACAAGAAGAAAAGGGAACCACCCCAAGAACTTGATCGTGGTGGCGATGATCACAGTAATAAAAAACAGAAATTATGTGTTGTCTCTGAGGGAGTGAAGAAGACAGGGTTTACTGATCAAGATTTGCTTAGAAGGATTGATGCAAAGTTATGTGAAGTACGGAAGAAAATCCAGTCGATTAAGTCCAATGATCAAAACTCTATGGACCATACCATTGCTAATTCGAAAGAGCCATCCTTCTTCCAAGAAACTGCCTCCTTTGAACAGAGTCAGATTATAGATAACCCCATTTGGTTCGACACACAACTGGAAGAAATACGTGGATTTGAGAAGAACGATCAAAACTATATGGACTATACCATTGCTAGTTCGAAAGAGCCATCCTTCTTCCAAGAAACCGCTTCTTTTGGTCAGAGTCAGATTATAGATAACTCCGTTTGTTTCGACACAAAACTTGAAGAAGTACATGGATTCGAGGAGAATGATCTATTTGACTGGTCGGATGTTTTTGATACAAGATCTGAAAATCCACATCTAATGGTAGTCGGTAAAGAGGACAACCATGAACTTTTGGCAACTGCACCAACTCCAAAATCTCTCGATACATATCAAGATTATCAGCCGTCTACACAGGCAGTGAACTCATTAATCCCTGGTAGTGAATCAATGGATACATTTTCTATGGCATATAATGGAGAATTCAACCAGTTTGCACATACTGATCTGAACTCATTTATTTCTGGTAACGAATCAGTGAACTCCTTTACTTTGCCAGCTAATCAGTGTTTTAAACCAAATTGGAATTGGTTCGAAGACAGCGCGTTTTTGGCTGACCTGACTTCGTGGCACGCTGCTCCTATGAATCTGTGGACTTAGTATTTTCTTCTTACTTAGTCGTATTTTTTGGTTCTTTGATGGTGAACTCCATTTCTATTTGAGATCATTGTAATTTGCATTCTTTCGATGCATGACTTAGTATATCAAATATATACCTTCTTCATTTCTAAAGCTTTCTTTTGCTTTTGATTTTTTTGGGTATCGCCTTTTAATTCAGTTGTTTCAGTTATTTCAACACTAATTAAAAAATTAATAAAACAAACATTCTTGTTATGATAACTATTATTGTGTCAGAGTGGGCTATTATTAATCAATTTAGCCCCCCATCCTGAAGATGGAAAGTCAGTCCAAGTTTCTATCACAGGATTTGTCCAGTTATTCTTGTTAGGTTTGCTCTTTATATTATAGGCAGCTGACTTGGAACTCTGCTATGGATGTGTCTGGCTGGTAGGTGCCGTCAAACCACAAATATCTATGCTCTGCTTTAAGGTGAGTGAAATCATTGTTTAAGATTCTCCTAAAGTGGTTTACTTTCAGTCTGTGAGTTCGTCCTCTGGTCTGCATCTGTAAATTGAATCAATACTGCAAGATATGGCAAAAAGAAAGTAAAATGGAAACAATTTGTAAATATGTCGGCAGGACAGTTAATTGCTTCATCCCCAGGATATCTAATGTTTGGCTAAGCTTAAAAATTCATCAAGTTGAGAGCAAGATTTATTAAATTAAATTTATGACAATTTTTATTGGCCATCGCCCTAATCCATGTCATCTGCAACTTCAAATGGGAAAGTCTTGCACCAATGACAAGAGATTATATTATCTGTGGCAATTAAAAATCCTTTCATGCTTCAATGCACTTGGAAGATGGAGAACTCCTATAGCCATTTTCTGTAAAATTTGCTGCACAAGAAAAATGAATATGAGATGCAGTGTATTTAAACATAATGCAGATTGAAATCAAGTTGCAAAATCAAGATAGTAATTAAGTCCAAGAGAAGAAGGTTACCAGCTTCTCTGATTCTCCTTTACAATCCCCACCCCTGATTACTTAATTCCTGAGATTCT